AAAGTTGTTAAATTCTGTAATGTTAAGTTAGTGTATTCTGCCACCAAGTTCTCAAACTTAATTGCAGATTTATCAATAAATCTAATCTAATCTAAGTGTTTGGAGAATCCACGAAAAAATACGGGTTAGAGCAGCCGGTTGCAAGAATTCTTCTCCAGACAGCAATAGTGCATTCTTTTTCTATCATTTTTTGCGCGCATGGTGAATTAGTAATATAGATTCTTTTTCATTAATTGGTGAGACCATTTATACTTATATACCGTTAAGAATATTACCAAGTTACTGATGACACGTTTAGTTAACTAGTAATTTAAAGAAATTCCAAAAGAGATTCATCGTCATATTATGAGTTGTCAAAAATATATCATTTCAAATGGTATATTAGTGTTAAGAATTTCTCATGTGTACTTGTGGATTATTTTTAGTTTTGGTTCTGGCAAACCATTGCCTAATATTTTATTTCGGATTCATGAGTGCAATGCGATCTTTTCCGTTAAATGTGTGTATAATTATAGATGTGCATAAACTGGGGCACTGTATTTTGCGATCGTTTAAGGACAGCTATAAACGAAATAAGAACAAGATCATTGATGTCTTTCCTTTAGAGAGCTCTGAGATACTCGTAATTAGCCATTTATACGATGTTTTAAACATTTCGACACAGTTCTATTGAAAGGAAAGGGTTAAACAATATGAATAGATATATTTATACAAGCGTGGTCCATTTCTAGAAGTGAAAGCAATTCAGTGTTAAAAGGGTTGAAACGCGACCTTTATTACAGTGTTTACCAAACTGATTAGAATCAGAATTTCTTTTTTCCTTCTTCACGACCCTTTGACTTGGCACCCTGAGCCTTAGCTTCATACAAAAATCCGACCCTGAAGACCTCAATAAATTCTTTCGTGCTTCAGAGTACATGATATTTTAGTGTTGACAAATCGCCTCAGAGGACAACTCATGACAACGCAACTCAAAGCACGAAAAGTGGGCGGGGAAGAACAATGGAATGCAAGAAAGAGAAAGGGTTCGGGGACGGCGCGGGCGGAAGCAGCGAAGGGAAAGGGCGCAAGGGAAAGAAGTTTGCGCTCAGTCCTTACAAATAATCTTCCGCGCAACAGGTGCTGTGCACTTCCTCCTTCGGCCGCTCAAATAATGACGCGACCTGGGCGAAGAGAGGAAAACATGCCCACCGGGTGTTCCCTGGCAAGGGGAGGGGACAGCAGGTAGGGAAAAGCGTCGACGCCCCAAATGAGGCGTCCTCTCTCGCTCCGATTAGTTCGAAAGACTCATTACGAATCATGCGGCTGCATACCTCCCTTCTTTCCTAAGAAAACTCTTTGTTGGGTAAATGAGAAGTATATTTAAGCGCCCAATGCATTCAGGGGTCACAAGTAAAAAATTGTCATTGTTAAAAGTCAAGAAATGTGTTCAAATACGTACGTATACGGGAAAGTAAAAATAGTCTATATTTATACTGGTGAAAATTTTGGGAAGATATTATTTAAAAAGATAGTCAGAATAAAGTACTATTTCTGGTCGCGATACAGAATAAAACTATTCTGATCCCAACTGACAGTTCAGTTCAGGTGTCTTGTGCACTTACGATTGCTCACCTTCCAGTGGAACAGCGATCAGGGCCCTGAGGGTGCGCATAAGGCCTGAATGCGAAAGAATTTTGAAGCGTATCCGAGAGGGTATTGGATCAATCTCTAATTGTTATATTTAACTACAAATTTAGATACATTACTTAAAATATGGGTGACATAGATATGTTTGTTACATGACCCGTAATATACCACACATAGTTTTCCTCCCACCGTAATTTTTAATCATGCAGACGCCGTTTTCTGATTGCAAGACTGCGTAGGAAGTGTTGCAAATATTTTGGCTGTCATTACTGTGACTTTCTTGAGACTTCATGCGAGAGAAAGATTGCAGTAGGTTTAAGAGACAAAAAAGTTGTTTTTGTTGTTGTTTAAAACTTAAAACATTTTAGGTTCATTTTTATTTTACCAATTAAAATCTTTATAAAATAGTTATTTTGTCAGTGGAGCATAGACGCAATTGTTAACATAATGCTATTTGTCCTTTACAACAATATTGATCATTTGGTCCTCGGGACACAACTTTTATCGTATTTCCCAGTGACCATAGGCCGTTTGCTATTAGTTATGTTTTGGAGGCACACCTAATCTAGGATGACAAATCCATGCGCCCCTTTCAAGTGATGCGGAAGGAATGTCGTATATAAATCAACAATGGCACCAGTCTGAGATATATCATACATAATTAAATTATGATAGCCTCTAGTAAATGTTTCTGGAGCGTGTAAAAAACGGCTCTAAATAACTTGGATAAACTGCCAGTATTACGGTCAATTTATTTCAAATACACGAAATCATAGAGAGCCAGCTCCCTATTTGAGTCCAGATTCTCTTAAAACTTCCAGAATCAGTTCTCTTTTCTCCAAACATAAACTCCCACCCCCATAATCACCTCTACAAAAAATCATCCCCTTTGAATTAATTAAAAGATGTCCCGAAATTTATAAAATTCAAACTACTAACTTATTAACAGAACCTAAGTTGTCAAAGAGTTTGTTCTGTTTGTCTTTGGACAAAGTGCAAATCATTATTGTAACCGTATGTTAAAAATGTTGAAAGATTGAAAATAAATGTGAAGAAAGAAAAATCGGTTTGGAAAATTATCAATTCTCTGGATCTTTTGTTTGACATGCTTGTTTTCCGTGGGACCGGAACTGGAGATTAGAAGTTGAAGGGTAATCTTCGAGATACCCATTACACTTCCGGAGCGTTGCAGCATTCAAAATGGTGGCCTTACACGGGTGTCTGGATCATTTTTGGGACGCAGCTCATCATTGTGGGGGCCGCGTCGACATGCTACGTGCTACCACGGAGCTACCAACGGCGCCGATGGCACGGCCGCAGCCACAACTGCGTAGGTGGAGGGGAATCGGAGTTGGCGGTGGAGGCGGAGACGGAGACGAAGGTGGAGACGGAGGTGGAGGTGGGGTTGGGAGCAGGGTTGGAGATGGAGTGGAGGCGGAGAAGGGGTGGAGGCGGGGGTGGAGGCAGGGAAGAGGAGGCGTAGGAGCACAAGGAAGAGGCAGAGGGCGGAGGTAAGGGAGGCGGAGACGCGCGTGGCAAGACTAACAATGAAGTCAACGGCGCAGGAGCTTCAAGTGTGGAACCTGTTGGCGCGCGGCCTTCGTCGAGAGCAAGGAGACCCGCTCCCAACAGCCTCTCAGAAGAGGCGAAAGGATTTCCTTCGTTTTGAGAATGTTGATTTTCAAATGCACGAACTACTAGTTAAGCTTACTATTAATATACTTGTCGTTACTGTCTTGTGAAGTAGTAAGTACGATTAACGTACTAACGAAATTATATTTAAAAAAACAATAACACATCTGCGCGAGAGTTGTCTTCGAATTTAAATTACTAGATAGATTCATAATCGGCTTTTAAAAGGATTGTTCTCTGGGCTAAAAGTATTTTATGCCAGAAGATAAAAAATCTTGAATCATTGACTCGATATGAAGGGGAAAGTAAGTGGATTCACAAATAATTTAGGAAAGGGAGTCATTTTACTTCGGATCCCCCTCCCCCAAATACATGTTTGAAGTAATAAAATATTATTTTATTATTGGGCTTGATTTTTTTTAAAGAGAGAGAGAGAGAGAGAGAGAGAGAGAGAGTGTGTGTGTGTGTGTGTGTGTGTGCGCGAAGATGCATGTGATGCTATGAATTAGGTAACTGTTTTGAATAGATCGAATGAAATTACAACAACAAAAACAAAAAACGAGCGGAGGAGCCTTGGGCTTCGCCCTCCTCACGGAGTGCAGCGGCTTAGGACATTGGCGAACCAGAAGGCGGCAGACAAGGAAATAGGAACGCGAGAATTGTTTGACAAACAGGTACATCATATGGGTAAATTAAAAACACGTAGAATGTGCGTATTTAATTAAGAAGCAATGCGTTGACAGTAGTAGCAACGAGAGGAAGTGTTACAAAGTAAGTTGTTTCTGCACTTCAGTGCGTTGGAAGTTTCGTGTAATCTGAATCCATCTGAGTTTACGATATACCCCGAAGGCCGAAGACAAACTACGCCATCGACTTGGAAATACCCGAACGAAGACAGTCACATTGGTCAAAGCGAATGAATTTTGGCTAAGCTACGTTACCCCGACTTCCTTTACACGAACGACGTTTTGAAACACCACCTTAAAAAGCGCATGATTCATTTATTCATCCATCCATTAGCTTTTGCGGCCTGAAACTATTGACATCATTACGCTGATTTACAGCAAATAAGAAAAGTAGTTGCAGCTTGTAAACCGTTGCGATGCCGGTACCTTATAACCATCCAAGTCCGTTACTTGTAATATTGGCCGTGTCCAATGTTTTTCGTAATATATTATTTTAAGAAAAAATCATAAGTAATACCTTTTCTAGTGACAGAAGGCCTCATGCATCATCTTTCGCTCCATCTCATATGTTCATTTGTTCTTACAGAATGGGGATACTAAAATCCTGAAGTGACTGAAGAGTTACGAGTGGCTTTTCGTTCCGCTGTTTTGGTTGCAATACGAGAATATCACGGGGAGAAAAATTTTCGCAAAAGACGAAACAGGACGCGGACAGGCCTCGACAGGGGAGGGGTGGGGGGAAGGTCGGCGTGACGACCCCGGCAAGCGCGGGGGTCTACAGAAGCAAACGGTAGCGCCAGAAGTCAGGGCATTGGTGACTGCGAGCAAAAGTACGATGACCTGAGATTGCGGTGTCGTCTGGCGGGTCAGAGGCGGCGTCATCGATCAAGCGGAGACGACAGCAGCGATTTCAAGAGAACCCAGCGGCCGAGATAGCGGCAGCGGCGGGACCGGCAGTTGTGGTTGGGTGCGTGCGGCTCGCCCGCTTCGCCTGCGGTGGATGTGGGACGCCGGGGACTGAGGTCGGGAACGAGGCGACGAGAAGGGCGGAGGCGGGGGCAGGACGACTACGGAGAAGAGGATGGGACGAGGTCTGTGCCAGGACGACAGGGAACTGGTACGAGGGCGAGGAAAACGGCGTGATGGGACTGGAGGAGAAAGGCACATGGGGGAATAAGCCAAACGACAAGACGAGTCCAAGGGCGACGAGAAGGGCGAGGAAAAAAGCGGG